TTAACTCTTCCTTGCAGGCTGTAGATGTGTTTTGGTAAGTGTATTGGTGTTTTTGGTTCAATGTGTAGAGTGAATTTGAATAAATTGTAATAGAAATGGAAGAAATTGTACTAGAAATGAAAGCAATTGTAAAAGATAGGAGCAAATGCCAAAAAACAGGTGATCCCAGCCGTAGGCATTTTTTGGCAGTCAGCTGATAGTGTTTTTACTTGGGAAACTGTACGATGGTGTCCACTTTTGCTTTTAAAGAGCATTTCAATTGCGTTCATCAATCATCTCAAAAAGACATGTCAACACACAAAACAAAGAGATATACGCTAGGTTAATGAAGATGTAAATTTGAGTAATTTATTATTAGGGGTATTCCCTGGCATACCTAAAGAATCCGGACCTTTGAGCTAGAGAAAAAAAAAAGACGTGGTGCACCCCTCGCTGCTAAGTTTATAGGTAAACTTTTATATAAAATTATACGCCTTATTAAAGGTATTCTTGTGATCGTTCTGATAAACATATTTGTTATTATAGTTAATTAAATACGTATTTTTTACGAAAAACGTACATTTTTATAAAAAATTGCCATAATTTCGTTTTTTTTTTTACTTTTTCTCGAAATATGTTTACATTATATACATAGATATATATATCGAATGAAGGTCACTTTTCCATATTTTTTAAATCGGTTCAATAGTTTTCAGGTACGTGAACCGGTTTTGAGCCGGAAAACCGATTTTTTCTATTAATTAACTGAACCGTTAACCGAATCGAAATTTTCCACAAATGTTTGATCCGAACCGAAAACCGAACCACTTTCCATAAAGGGATAAAGGTTCGTTTCAACTAAGTTTTAATAGATAAATGTACCCACTTTTTTTCTTTTTGTTAAACATGGTAGTACCTACCGAGCGCACTTGTGCACAAGGGTATTATAACTTTGGTCACATAACGGTTGTTTGTAACAGGTAAAACGAATCGCGATAGATAATAGACAAATGTATACATAAGTGATCAGAATGAAAAGAGAAATCGATTAAGCGGTGATTGTGTCCGTCCGTCCGTCTGTCTGTCCGGCGGTCCGTCTGTGCACATGATAACTCTAGTAAAAGTTGAGATATCTTAACGAAACTTTGTACGTGCACTTCTTTCGGGCGTAGGACGGATGGTATTGGAAATGGGCAAAATCGAACAATAACCACATCTATCTCCCATACATATAACGCTAATTTGGAGAAATGCGAAATCTTCGATAAAGCAGTAAATATTAGAGCTAATTTATTCAAAATTGATGCTTGCGACAATCCTTTACCAAGAAATACGTTTATGATAAAATTTTGGAAAACGGGCATGGCACCGCCAACTTATGATCACATATATGTATCTCGGTAACCGGTCCACCAATTTATACCAAACTCGGTATGGCTATTGTGCTTGCCAAATAAAAGCAAAACCTTGAAAATTATTGAAATCAGACTAAAATTGAGGCCGCTTTTCATATAACGATAAATTTCAGAAATGCTTGAAACTTCAATATTTCGAAATTTAAGCACGCTAAATTACTCAAAATTGATACACTCCGGTATACGACTCACTTCCAGCCTTCGATGCTGTTGGCGTTCTTTGAACTGAACCAAACATCCTTGTCAATGCGCTTTTCCAGAAGGATTCTGCGTTCTGAACTGCTCCCTGTAAAATAGTGGCCCGTAGTCATAGTCAAAATAAAGTCGACTTTAAAGTTAGTTGCAGCTTTTTGACATAATTTTCAATGGGATATCTGTCAAAAAAGCTGCAACTAACTTTAAAGTCGACTTTATTTTGACTATGACTACGGGCCAGTATTTTTAATTAAAAAAATACATAACGCCTTTTCATATGTAAATCTGAAATTAAATCTTACAAGTTATATAGCTTTTCTTTATTTTTTTGCCGGCGGGACAATGTTCTTTTATTTCCACTCGCTTTTGTTTTCTTTAATTTATGTGTATACGTGCGTTGTTCGTTCTTCTTCTTGATAATGCTTGCTGTCAAATTTTTCACTAGCCCTGCCGTTTCAAACATTTTTATTCACTCATAGCTGTCAAAAATTATGAGAATTTGCTATCTAATTGGCACAGCCCTAAAGGTCACTATGAAAGGCAGATACAAACGATTGTAAATGATACGTTAAGGCGATGTTTGGGGGTTCCACCTAATACGCCAACATATGCGAGATATGCACTTGCTTGCGAACTTCCGCCTCTTAGCAGAGCGCTGTGGTTAACTGCTAAGGAACTAATTAAACAGTGGTTTCTTAATCCGGGTTTAAGAACTAGTTTACAAAATAGTCAGATCATTAATTCAAGTTATGGTTGTGTATATGTAGAGTTCAAGCACATTTTGGATAGAATCTGCACAAGAGTAAGTTTTCGAAAACATAAGGATCTACAGTTTATACAATCGGAGTTAATAGCTCGAAAACTAATTTTTCTCAGCAGCAATTAAAAGCGGTGTATAGCGAAAAGAGGGATAATCTAAAAAGTCGAGGTTTTTACATGTTGGCCACAGATGCATCGATTATAGAGGATAGGGTAGGTTGTGCAGTGTATGACTTAGAAAAAAATGTTTCGTATCTTTATAAAATAAATGGAACAGTTTCATCGACCTTTGGTGAGTTGGTAGCCTTAAATGAAGCGGTGGGAATTGCAAAGAAGAGTGGCAGGGAAAAAGTTGTCCTCTTTACGGACAGTTTAGCAGCAATTAAACTATTAGACTGTGAGAAGACAGACAATTTTTTGGTTGCGGAATTTCACAATAAATTGTTGAATTCAAAAATAGTGAGTGTGATGGTAGTGTGGGTGCCTAGCCATGTAGGAATATATTTTAATGAAAAGGCGGATATTGCGGCAAAGGCTGCGACTAATGTTGGTAAAATATTGGAAACTGAGTTCACGCCAACTGAAGCTTTGCTGAAAATTGGCAATGAATTATGGGAAAAGGCGAAAGAAAAGATAAAGAGAGGTTGTCCGAACTGGAATTCGGATGTTGTGGATGGAATAGCAATAAAAGAAAGAAAGCCGTGGTTCAAAAATAAAAAAAATGACTTAGACGCATACAATACAAAACTACTCAATAGACTGATTGTTGGGCATACGTACAATAAATCATATTTACACAAATTTAAGCAGAATATTTCAAGTAACTGTGGCAGGTGCGGAGCCTATGAAACCCCTCATCATCTTATATTTGAATGTACCGCATTAAATGCTTTCAGGAACAAGTTTGAAATTTTTAAGAAATTCAGTAACCTAAATGACCTGTTTAAAACTAATAATATAGTATATTTTAAAGACTTATCAAAATTCATTACTGAAGCAAAATTGGAAAAATGCCTTTAGTATGCAAACGATCAAATGAATTTATGTTAACTATTTTAATGTTTTCCCATAGGTTTGCCACTCGTCAAATTTATCACAAGCAAATAATTGGAAGCACTTTGACTGTCATGAAATCTCTACTCACGTATGATCTTCATGCAAAGGATAATGTGCAACATCCGAAAATAGAAATAATAAAATAGCGACATTCCAATTGAGTACAATGCACTGAACAAAGCACACAAGCCTTCCGAAACATTCCTTAGCTGATATTGCAAAGTTGCACATTAAAGTGGAATACAGTATGAACACACGTATTCAGCCTCATTGCGTAAGTCGTAAATTAGGCTGAATTGTACGACTCGACAACATTAGCATTGTCTACTGTCGTGCTGAAATAAGTAAACGACGAAAATTGTCGAAAACTATGCAGTGCTGCCAAGTTCTTCCATTTTAATACACTAGTCGATTGGAAATTTTAGGCAATGACGCTAAATTTTCGATACGATTCGACTCTCGAAAAACGACTTGCATTCGGCACGACTCTCGCAATGAGGCTGATTATTTTTCTAAAATCACACTCCTTTTATACAAATAAACCACACACAGACACAGTAAAAAGTAAAATAATAGCAGACTGTTCATCACTTCTCAAAGTAATTTATATTGATATCTCGGCATCCAGTTCGAAAACGCCCTATCTCAGAAAACTTTTCAAGAACGCCCCACCTCAGAATTTGATTGAAAAACGCCTTATCTCAGAATTTGGTTGAAGAACGCCCTATTTAAGGAGTCGATTCAAAAACGCCCTACCTCAGCACACTTTCAATGTATTTTCAGCTAAGATGGGGCGTTTTTGAATCGAATTCTGAGATAGGGCGTGCTTCAACCAAATTCGGAGATAGGGTGTTTTTCAATAAAATTTTGAAATAGGGCGTTTTCATTCAAATTCTGAAGTAGGGCGCCCTTATAAGGTTTTTCGAGATAGAGTGTTTTCAATGAAATTCTGAAGTAGGTCGTTCTTGTAAGGTTTTTCGAGATAGGGTGTTTTCGAACTGGCTGCCGAGATCTTCCACTCAGTTGAAGGTATGGCCAATAAGGTATTTGAGTTTTGTTTTAGTATATTCTGAAAGGAATTCCTGAGTAGGACTAAATAAATAGTTTCGCATCGAATACATTCAAACACATATATGTAAGTATATCAGGTATGTATATAAATTATTTACTAGATCCATTCCCACGACAGCCTAACCCTGTTGTTCGTCCATGGGGCAACATTTCGTCCGCATTTTTCTGCTCAGGGCTACCATAGAGTCAAGCCCAGAGCCAGAAATCGTTCGTGGACCCTTACTGTGTAAACATGATACACCAGAGCTCACCCGAGCAACACAACACCAACCCGACCACACCCCAACATAACACAACCATAGACAGATACAAACGCACCCAACCCAGACGCCGCCGCCAGCAGATCCTAGTTCCTCTGATAATCTGTTCGGTGTGTCGATCCAGAAAATACCGCAACGTGACATCAGTCAAGTGCAATTTCTGCCTTAGCTGGTGTCACTTTAGGTCATTTTCAGGACTGCGCACTGCGCGAACTTGTACGAGCGACTACGTGGGCCCCTGTTTTGCTGCTCAGTCGTTCAACGCGCACCACGATCTCAAGCCTGTTCTGCACAATGTACGACGATGCACCCACCATGATTATGGGCAGTAGCTCGCCAGATTAGCAATTGTACGCTATAAACAGCATAACGTGGCAACCTATACTGACGCTTACACCCGACCTCCTGCCCATAGTCCTCCCGATCGATAAACTGGCTGACTTTGCTTCCGTGGAAAACCGAACCTACGTCAACTTTTGCATTTCGAGCTTTGGCATCGGAGTATATTTTACAGGAAGTTGGCCGTCAGATTCAATTTTTTTTTTTAATTTTTGCAGCCACGTATTCATTTGAATCCAACATTGAAAGTACCTTGGAGGCTGATCTTTTTCCAAAAAGAGGATATTTATGTATGTTTCCTCTTATCCTGACTTTCTTCAACATACTCTTCATTTTCATTGTCGTAGTAACAATCGGGCTTTCTAAATCGTCTATGGTTACAACTGCATCCCGATTACGAATGCAGTCTTTTCAAACTAGTACATTCACACTTTAAAAGGGATCTCACGACAGCGGCAATTTACAGTACCGTTATTAATTACGAGAAGGTGTGATGCTGTATTAAAAATTAACAAAAAAATTAGTAAGTTTTAATATTATTAACTATTTCGTATATTTTTCTAATAAGTACATATGCCCACATGTAAACTCAACATACTTACCACAATCTTCTTACTAAATAAAATATATTTATAAGTTCACATTAAATAAGTTTTAAGCATATATTTGTAAATACATATTTTTTGAATGCAATTATCAGAATTTCGGCGTGTTTGTAGTATCTTAATTGCATTTTTTCTTATGTCTGTGTTGTTTTTAGAAAGCAAAATAGTAATTTAGCATCTTTTCTGCTTTTCTACCTATTTCGGCTTATAAATACGCGAATAAATACAAATGCATAAAGGAAATGAAAATATATAGAAATCATTAGAATTCATTATGCATGCAAATGCATGTATGCACGTGCTTACATAAATACATACATATTTATAATGTACTTGTTACTCCCAAAATTGAGCGTACGGCTCTTTTCTGTTAATATTCGCAATGTTTTATATGTTAAAAATTATTTGTCAATTTTGCATTAAAATATGGCTTATATTTTAGCAAACTCCATTTAAATCCAANTTGTTACTCCCAAAATTGAGCGTACGGCTCTTTTCTGTTAATATTCGCAACGTTTTATATGTTAAAAATTATTTGTTAAATTTGTGTTAAAATATGGCTTATATTTTAGCAAACTCCATTTAAATCCAAAAACGATACTTTGTACAAAAATTAAGAAAAATCTGCAAAGTTTCAGCAAAAACGCGAACTTTTTAATACGATTTTCTAATGTCTAATTTCAACTTAACAGATTTTTCTTAATTTTTGTAAACAGTATCATTCTAAAATATAAGCCATATTTTAATACAAAATTGACAAATAATTTTTAACATGTAAAACATTGCGAATATTAACAGAAAAGAGCCGTACGCTCAATTTTGGGAGTAACAGTATGTACGTACATACATACATGTGTAGTACGAGTATAAGCTTTCGCCATATTCTCTTTTAATATTATTAAAAAAATACAGGTATATATAAATACAATATAATTGCAAACAAAATATGCTACATAAAATAGAAAAGCTCAGATTTTGTTTAAGTTTTACTCTTTTTGCATACTCGTAATGTAAAGCTGTAAAGCTTGTCAGATTTGTTTGTTTTTTTTTTTTAAATCGGTCAATATTTGCATTCAGGCAATTCCACTTAATCTTATTTACTATTAGAAGATAGTTGGTAATCGATTTGGTTACAAAGGGGCGGTCTGTCTGGAGCGTGTTTTTTTTCGTTTGCAGCATTAAGTTTCTATGTTTAGTTTTGTCGCTTGTGAGTGTAGCAGACGTGAATAGCGACGAAGCTATTGACGTTGACTCTTTTCATTTTGCTTTGCTACGATAAAGCAAGTGTACACGATGAGCCGATGAGCCTATTTAATTTGAATAATCGTTTGTAATTACGATGTATTGTATACATATTTTTTAAATTTTCTNACTCTTTTCATTTTGCTTTGCTACGATAAAGCAAGTGTACACGATGAGCCTATTGAATAATCGCTTGTAATTACGATATATTGTATACATATTTTTTAAATTTTCCTCTTAGCTACGAACAATCGCAGGTGCTTGTGTGTATTTAGACAGTCCTAACATTCAGCCAATAATCCATCGTTTGTGTTTTCGCTTAGAACAGCTTTGCTCGGCGTTTCAGTTCGTTTCGTCTCCATTGGGGTAATCGGTAGAACTCGGATCGAGAGCTTTGCAAAACATGCTCGAATTCTACATCCGATAAATGACGCTACGAATATTTAATTGCGTTAATATATGTATTTACATTTATATTGAATAGGGAAATAGAAACTCTAAGAACCTCTAAGTTGCAGCGATCAACATCTGTTGGTAGACGATAGTTTGTGATGACTAATAAATGATAAGGATAAATTTTAGCCGGCTCATGAACGAGCAAAGAGTGTGCCATATTGGGTAGACTGCGACGTATTAAACCAGCTTGCGGATAATGGTAGGACAAAACACCCGAATATGTGCTAGAAGCGGGAAGCTCGCCACCCATCTGTAAATAGATAAAAGATATAAAATACATTAAGAAAAGGCTATATTCTAGAGTGGATAAAAAGTACTTACTAAAGCACGTCTATCACCATCCNGTAGACTGCGACGTATTAAACCAGCTTGCGGATAATGGTAGGACAAAACACCCGAATATGTGCTAGAAGCGGGAAGCTCGCCACCCATCTGTAAATAGATAAAAGATATAAAATACATTAAGAAAAGTCTATATTCTAGAGTGGATAAAAAGTACTTACTAAAGCACGTCTATCACCATCAGTAATGGAATCAACTGAAGCTATGGTAAAAAAGTTTTAAATAAAATATAAACATATTTAAAACTACACTTTAGCTATATCGCCCTTTTGCTGGTAGAACGTCATGATCTGATGGTGATTTTGTTTCTTCCAAAAAATGTTGCCCTTCCCCAGTGCAAAATGTGTTTGATGTTACACTCAACCCTGCAAAATGGCATGTTTTTGGCTTCATGTCCTTGTCTAGCTCACGCATTTCATAATATTGTCGTTTTAAACAACCATCTGATTTTGAGGACAACCACCTCCCCCGACATAGCTTCACAGGGCTGAGAATGTGCCTTTTTTCCCTTACAAGAGTGCGACATTTTAAGAATNTTTCTTCCAAAAAATGTTGCCCTTCCCCAGTGCAAAATGTGTTTGATGTTACACTCAACCCAGCAAAATGGCATGTTTTTGGCTTCATGTCCTTGTCTAGCTCGCGCATTTCATAATATTGTCGTTTTAAACAACCATCTGATTTTGAGGGCAACCACCTCCCCCGACATAGCTTCACAGGGCTGAGAATGTGCCTTTTTTCCCTTACAAGAGTGTGACATTTTAAGAAACGAACACAAAATTTTCTCACGCTTTGCCTTTAATTTAGACTCGAACACAAAAAGAGAAAGGGGCAATCAAAAGGTGAAGGTAGAAACGAAATCACCATACATTTTTTGCGGTTAAGTATCCTGAAAAGGCTGTAAGCCAATTTTTTATGTTGTGTAAAAAAACGCATCATTATTTGACAAAGTAAATTACGAAAGTAAGCATTGACGACAGCTTTATGCTCTGCATTAAAATTTAGGTTTATAGTTTTTTTATTGCTTTAGCTATTTGTTTTTGTTAATGTGAAATGCCTAAGTAAGAACCTTAAGCCGTTTTGTATTTCTAGATATGACGTTCCTCTAGAAAACAAGCGATATAGTAATGGAATTTCACTAGTGAAACTTACCTTCTGATTTCCCACAACTTAAGTCTGTACTATGAGTTTTATCCACAAAACCTCCATATGAAAAGTCCTAATGATTGGTAAATAGTGAAAGTTAAAATTATGTGTAAATATATATTTCACTTGACGTAATGTTTGTTTAAATTCCAATTGAAATTAATATGTGCGGATGACTAGTAAATTTTTGTGAAGTAATAAATAAGAAAGTCTACGAATGTGCAAATTAAGACCCATAACATAAATTAAATTTCATGCCGTGCCAATAAAAACAAAAGCAAAAAACCAAAAAACGAAAACCAAACCTTAACGAAAGAATGTAAAAGCGGAAAAAGAATTGTTGAATGCAAAACAATACTTTTACTTAAGCGTACGTCCAGTCTTCATTGCCTGGTAAGTTTAAATACCTTATTTTGCGCCAAAATATTACTCAGGCAATATTACTTGAAAGAAAGGTCGTGTTAAAAATAATAATGGCCAATAGTTGTGCATGTAGTAGCTCTGATCCAATACTTTTCGCTCAAATAATTTTGGCGAACCTAAAAACACCCAGTATCACCACATTCCTCAAATTAATTTTTGTGACCCTTAAAAATTTGGAAAAGTGGGTCAGCTAGCGTAACGAATATAAATTTTAGCCCGAATCTTCTGAATGTCGGCATAATATGTATGAGCGGAAATATTAAAATTATAGATTAAATATAATCGAAAAATATTGTAAGCAAAAAGTAAGTTAGTTTATGTAAAAAAGAAGATATCTTTATCCGAAGAAATAATTATATATAATTAATATTTATTTTTATCAAGAGGAGTCATTAGTTTCTGGTTTTATGAGACTAAATATCAAAATATAGAATGTGCCAATAGAAATTATCAAATCGGCCACAGTCGTCCAATTTGCAGAAAATTTTAAAATAATTAATTAATATAGAAAACACAAACAAGTAGGAATACACATAGGTTCTAAAAAATAATTCTAATAAAATAGTATCTAAAAAAATCAAATCGAAAGGTCTCATTAAGCATTCTCATAAAAAGCTACACATAGAAAGCGCTTACAGTAGCAACAGGGTGCACAGCAGAAGTACCACCGGCCGCACTGAATGTATGTGAGCGTGGAGCTAAGCCGTATCCTGGCTTAGGGACATGCCGCAAGGCGCTCACCACTGTGTGTGACAAATGTGTATGCATACATACATACATACAATTAATAATTCAAATGCATGTATGTGCATATGGGCGTGCGTATGAGTACGTATTATATGCGTGTTTGTAACAGTATAGGCATGCAAGCGCAAAAATATTGGCCACAAAACAGATGATGACGTCGTTGATGGCATGTAGAGTAGAATGAAGCGTCCAAGCAAATGTTCAATGAATTGCAGATGAAGCGCATATATGTATGTATGTATATGATATGCGAAATTTGACAGTCAAAACATGATCGACGATTATGAAGAGTTTACCATTTGATGAGGATGAACGATGGCGCGTTGTTATTGTTGATAAATATATGTTAAGTGGTAAATAATCACCAGTCACCAGAATATAATTTTTAAATTGTCGTATTTTGGTGTAGTTGTTGTCGTTGTTAAATGCAAAAGACGTCGTCCAGCACCGAATGCGCAATAGTGCAAGTATTAAACGAATATTTGTCGAATCATAAGGGTTATATACACGATCATAAGGCAAAAAGCAGCATTGAATGAAAAAATTAATTGACAATTCAGAGGAAGAATTGATAGTGAGTACAAGAAAGATTCGGCAAAATATAAAGATCATTATGAAACATTAATACTGAAGATAAATACGTATGTATGTATATTAGGGTGGTCCTTGAAAATCATATAAAAACAATTTTTTTCATTCTCACCACCTCAATCGGTAATACCATAGTCGAAGATATCACATATAAATTTTGGTCCCGATTGGAGACGGTTAAGGCGTGTCGCAAAGGGGTCAAAGGCCAGATGCCTCTATGGACTCAAAACATTAAAAATATTTTTTCTTAATTTAATACCCAAAATGATACTATGTACTAACGTCGAGGATATCACATTTAAACTTTGGTCCTGATTGGAGTCGGTTAAGACGTCTCCATAGGGTAATCTGAAATTTTACCCCTGTGCCCCACGCCTTAAACCGACTTCAATCTGGACGAAAATTTATAGGTGATATCTTCACCTACGGTAGTATCGATTTTGGGTATTAGACGAAAAAAAAAATCTATCTTAATTTGTTGAGTCTCCATAGAGTAATATGAACTTTCCCCCCTGTGCGACACGCTTTAACCGTCTCCAATCGGGACCAAAATTTATATGTAATATCTTCGAGTATAGTAGCATCTCGACAAAGGGTTGAGGCTTAGAAAATCTGATGTAAAAATTTGCTTCCTACATTTAAGGACCACCCTAATGTGCATACATGTGCGGGCTATTAAAGCAGAACTTAGTATTAAATATGAATATAACCGTTAAAAATTAAAAATCCTAGTAAATATTAAATATGTAGCTCTGCTTTGCGTAGATATGTATTTAATACACAGTATGCAGTGCAAGGATCAGGAGCGTGAAATATTTTAAAAGGACAGAATTTGAAAGATTGTGTTAAGTTGTCCGTTCTTTGGTATGTCGAGTGAACATCGAATACGTATTTGATATCTCTCATGTGGCCCACATCGTAACAGGTTTATATATATATCAAAACTATTATTACTTTTACAATATTTAACTTTAAAGTAAGTCGGCAATAATAACAGAAAAAGCAGAAGGGGGGGAAATTGCTCAGCGCAGTTGTCCAATAACTGTTTGTTGACGTTTATAACCTAATTTAACAACGGTGGTATAGTACATACGTTAAGCTTTGATCGAGTATATGTACCAAGAGAGAGTGGATACATATGTAAGTGTGTATATTTTATAAGGTTACTTTGTTGCTAAGTCTATACATTTGACAGTTTATGACCAGTAAGACATTGTTAATGATAATATAGGGTGTTAATCACAAATGAGTTTGTTTCCAACATTAAACGCAGTAGCAATACCAATCACCAACAATTCAAACGAGCCGTATAGCATGAGTGACGCACCATTATAGAAGCAGCAGAATTTTATGTTTACACTTACGGAGCTATAGCCATTGCGTATTGATGGTGGCAATGTTGTTGTTTTCAATCCATATCCTGGTCTAGGCGGAGATCGGTAGGAATGTATCGCTATATAGTATTTTAAATAGGCAATTTAATACTATGTATGTATGTAGATTAAGCCCACAAAAATAATGGTAAGATGGTTATACAAATTTCGAAACTTAAAATAATAATATTAATGATAGTAATGAACCAACGGATATTCGACAGACCTACTGGAAAATATCTAATTGTTGAAAAATTTAACTGCTGTTTGAAGACCGTGTCAGAGGTGGACCGTGTTGTAGGTGGTTAAAAAATTATAGCTGAACCACTTTTTGCCAAGTTTTAACGTATTATTTTTGTTGTTATTTACTTTTGGTTATTTTTTTATAAAAATATAGTTCATTCTTTTACAAAATTCGTTTAAATCCAAGTTTCAAGCTTTGTGCAATTTAAAAAAAATTCAACAAACTTTCGTACAAATTTCGAGCTTTTTTGCATATTCACAATCATTAAAAAACTAGACATTTTTACGAAAATTTCCTGTATTTTTTTTTAATTGTATAAACTTTTAAGGCAGTGTCACTCGATTGGTACATGTGTACAGACTTGTACATTTTTATATTGCTTTATTGGTACAAAAAAAAAGGGAGAATTTTCGTTGGTCTTCTATTGAAAAATTTCAACAAATTATTTTTCGTGATTGGGATAAAGAAAGATATTTGGGTATATTCACACAATTCGGATACGATTTGCACCAAATTTCGGCAAATACGCAATCGTGTGACACTGCCTTTAAACTTGTATTTATACGGAACTATATGAACTATAAAAAACTAGCCAAAATTAAATAACAACAAAAATGATATTTTAAAGCTTGTCAACATTTGGTGCGGCTATAATTTTTTCGACTACTGTACATAAGTTGACTATTACTACGTTTATGCGGCAGAATACACGAATTCTTCATTTCATGATATCAAAAAAAGTTCCGTGTGTGAAGTGAAGTGGCAGGAGCGCACCAGCGAAAAACTAAACAGTAGGGTTGTGTTTTTTTTAATACATTTTAGAATTTGCAAATGGCGTTGGACCAGTAAATGGTCCATGTTATATATAAATTAGTTTTAGTGCATTTGAATTTCTTCTATTTGAATTTCTTTAATATTACAACGAATCCACGTAAATTTTCCAGTGTTTTAAGTCTTGGTTATGCCACTACATGCTTTTGATCCGGACTTCCACATCATCTTCATGAAATGGTTCCCAGATTCATGGTTAATTTTCGTGCATAATTGAATTCATGATATTGTGTTTATGCAGCCAATTTCAGCCCAAATCCATGAAATAACTTCGTGAATTTGCCTACGCATAAACGTAGTATATGAAAAAAAAAAATTGTCCTGGCTACGGCCCTGGCAACAATCATGATACATATGTACATAGAACGAGAATATGACGATTACACTTCCGCACAATCGGTCGTGATATTTCAATTCATTGGCCGTCCAAACATTCACTTAGACCAGATAGTTTCTGTTTAGTGCTTGAAATTTTCTCAAAATTTCTACAAAAAAAAATGCCAGTTTAAAATTATGAACTATGCCGCAATAATTCCAGACATAATTTTTCATTTATTTAATGATTGGACGACAAATGTGCAGAAAGCCTTGCCCGTAAAAATTGCTGTGAATTTAGTAAATTAAGTTTTTAAAATATCAGCAATGTTGTTGGTTTTTATGTTTCCGCAAGATGCTTTGAAATGGGATGAAATCAAGAATGATAGAATACTGTACTGTATTCTCTCCACCGTGGAGTGAAATAAAATAAAAATTAAACCAGCTGATTGTCAACAATATGGCCGTTGGCTATCTTTTCGCTTGGCGCTGAATCTAGAATTTTTTTCATAAATTTCATCGTAGCTGTCAAAGCAAATTTTGCCCGCAACGCGAATCAAATGTTTTATCTTACAGAAAATTGGGCAAGTGTAGAAACTTTTATCTTGTGTCGAATGAAAAAAGTTTTACCTCTTTAGTTCACATATTGGGTGGAGTAAAAAGTCATTATGGAGGTATGGATTAATCATCAATCAATGCTGTCCAGCTCCGCTTTGTTCGATATCCCCTTGCCATTTTGCAGTGAGCTTCATAATTCTCCGTCCTTAGAACAACCTGTCTTTTTAGCCGAAAAACAAACCAGGTAATGATTTATCGCTTTTGAAGTCGTTTGCGGCGAGTCATCACGTCGAGACCAAGATCGTGTGCGTTCCACATTGTTGTATATATTGTACTTGTCATTGCCATTTATCATACTTTTCAAAAAAATAGTCGTTTTTGCTTTAAAATCATATGGAATACAAAAAATATCGTTTCCAATAATCTCTAGGTGAAGGTGTATAATTTTTTCACTGCTGGACGAAGTGGTTTGCCTACCCCCCGCTGTAATTTAAGCACGATTGAGAGAATACAAAGGTTGCGCCGATCTCGGACCGCTATTCCTCTCTTAATGAATTTGNGAATCGTTGTTTGCATGACGTCACACTGGTGCAACTTGTTTACGTTTTCCTTGCAACATTTTTTCTTCTTCTTCCATTCTTGCTCACGTTTTGGCATTTCTCTCTCGCAATTGCACCAGTGTGACGTCACTCAAAAGTTATTCTCCAAAATCCTCTCTGATCGGCGCAATCTTGTATTCTATCATTCTTGTAATTTAAGGGTTAACGTGGGTTTGACATGATCAATGCCTTTATTGGCTCGTTATGAACATCGGTGGGTCTTCCTGACTGCGGAGCTTCTTTGGGATTAAAATTGCCCAGCCAGCAATTATTTAATCAGTTTTGGCACCAACGTTCTTTTAGACAACCCTCATTGTAAATTTTACTCAATTTTTCATAAGCTTGACGCGCGTTTCTCTCTTTACGGAAGTAAAACATAAAAATATGCCGTAAATTCCATGATAAAAATATAGTAAGGTAGAACCGCTGAGACTCACTTTTAAAATTCTTGACGTTTCCAAACATTATAACATGATAAAAATATAGCAAGGTAGAACCGTTCTCTCAATTTGTCGGCCATAAATTTTTTTTTGAAGTTTGCCAACATTTTAAAATCATATAAAAGTGAAAATAAAAAAATGAAATTGTTCGAAATTGTTGTTGCTTGAGATTGAAAATGAAAATGTGTGTGTGAGTTTGTGAGTAAATTTAAAAATTAAATTGTTTGGAAACGTCAAGAATTTTAAAAGTGACTCTCAGCGGTTCTACCTTACTATATTTTTATCATGCATTTTAATTTTGGCAAACTTCAAAAAAAAAATGATGGCCGACAAATTGAGAGAACGGATCTACCTTGCTATATTTTTATCATGGTAAATTCTAAAGCTTAATCAAATTGCTGATTTTTTATTTGTGAGTGCAGCTCAAACTTTGAGTTAAATGACATTTGGTAAACATAGGTACATATGTATGTATGTGTGAATGACTTGTTTACTCCTCCCAATAGCTACGCCCGATATTATTTTGTAAAACTTTTTCTATATGAAAAAATCGTCTACGGTTGTTTTTAAGATACTTTTATTTAACACCTAGAAATTTACTCATTCAAAAACTATTTGAAAGCGTAGAAAAGGGCAATTGGCAGTTAAAACTCGGTGAAAGTTGAATTAAATACTATAATCTTACTTAATATATCAATTTTTCTAAATAAAAAAAAACCATCACTAAAACGGACTTAATATAAATTCATATCGTTGTGTATATGTGTAGATATTCAACGCGACTCTTTTTTAAACAGAACAAAGCCTCGGCAACCTAGGTAGTTTTGCTAACCTGTCATATTTGTAGTTTTCTATATTTCGTAAATATAGTAATCACCCCTACATAAAGAGGCAAATATTTTCATTCGCGAATTTATACGGATTTAGCATTTTGTTATAAAAATAATCAACTGCATTCTTTAAATAAGTTAACTACATACTTGTCTCTGCGACTTACCGTTGTAGCTGGGCGCATTACCAAGCGATTTGCCTAACGAACCCCTGTAACTTGTTGACCGATCAAAGATTTCGTCTTCATAGAAAGGCTTCTGATGATCTAAGTTGCGCGATGGTGAAGCACCAATAGGTGATTCGTATCTATTTTCAATAAAAAAAAATTAGAACAGTCATTAAAAAATGTATTTTTAAGCAAACTTTGTTCTTAAAATGTTTACCTTAACTTGAGTATGGGCTCTTTAGCTGCCGATGGTGTACGTGATGCATTTCTCGGGTCTAAATTTTGCTGTTTCCATTTCCTATATTTTGCGTGTTCCTTTAAATCTTTAGCAATAGCTGAACCAATACCTGAATTCAATTTTTCCAGCTCTTCAGCCTCACGTTGTAGGCGTCTACACGAATCTTAGTACATTTTTATTCTGGAATCTTTCTTATTTTTTTTATATTAATTTTTTTTTCTGATTTCTTACGTTTGCGCTTTCGATATACACAAATTACATTCAAAATCACAAAGCAATACTCTTAAACTGAATAATAATTGCTTAACTAATTTTAAAATGTAAAAATTATAAGAAAAAATAATATTCAAACATATTCCATTTTTTATCAATAAGTACCTAATGGATTCCTTATGACAACTTTGCAGCATCACCACTACCGTACCGTTAGTCCCGGACTAATTTTACGTGAATACGGTCGCCCTGGTGGCGAGGATATTTCGCGTATTTATACATACAGCTACTTGACAGATGCTCCACACTACTTACGCAAGCCAATTGATCCGTATGACAAGATGCCGTTGTCACCACATTTTCACCGACCACCGTCGTATGCCACCAGCACTGGTGGTTCAACAGCTGGTAGTCGGCCGCCGTCTCGGCCGCATTCGCGCAGTCGCAGCGCCATGAAAGTGCTCGTAGATGCAATACGTTCGGAGACGCCTCGCCCCAAAAGTCCTGCCATGAACAACGAAGAGCCGATAGAGCTCTCACATTATCCAGCTGCTAAGAAGCCGCCACCAGGCGAGAAACCGAAAATCGAAAGGGATGATTTCCCAGCACCGCCTTACCCATATACAGATCCAGAACGTAGGCGCCGTTACAGTGATACTTATAGGGGTGTTGCTACTTCCGATGATGACGACGAAGTCGACAATATGAAGAATGGCGA